ATATCTAATTTTGCTTTCTTTACAATCCTACAAGTAAATGAAAGTTTTCTTAACAAAGAAAATGCAACAAAGCTACTAATTGTAAATAAGAATTTGATAGTCAATATACTCATATTGTACAAAGACTTTGTACAATGATGTGATATTTGTTTAAGATCCAAAATTCTTCATCATCAATCTTAAGCACTTCTTCAACCATTACCTATCTTGAAACAACCATGGACTTTTATTCTTATGGATTTTATTATAAATCATTCAATCTTATGTTTATATGATTCTATATTTGTGATAGTAGATCAATTTACCAAGATGGCATATTTGTACCATGTACAAAATCTATCAAAAGAAAAGAAACAACTAAGCTTTTTCTAAACAACAATTATTGCTATCATGGATTATCTACGGATATTATATTAAATAGGGAACTTGATCTATATCAAGATTTTTGGAGAATCCTTTTTAAGATTATAAAAGTAGATAAAAAGCTCTTTTGAGCTTTTCATCTTCAAATTGATAGACAATCAGAATAAGTGAATTAAATTTTAGAGTAGTATTTGAGGTGTACCATCAATTATCATTAAGATGATTGAACTACTCTTTTGCCATTGGCAGAGTTTGCATATAATAATTTATTAGATTGTTCTACTCAACAAACACCTTTCTTTGTACACTTTGGTTATTATGTATGACTTGATACATTTAACTTTTTAAAAGTTGATAATTCTATGGCAAAATGTTTTGCAAATCATTTGTCAAAATTACATGCAAGAATGAAGGCACAATTAAAAGAAGCTCAAGAATGACAAAAAATCAATGTGGATGCCTATTTCAAGGAACAACCACAATTCAACATAGTTGTTAAGGTATGGGTACTTTGTTATCATATTAAGACTACTCATCCTTGTGACAAGTTGGACTATCATAGAATTGGACCTTTTCCTATCAGTGAATAAGTCAATCTTTTTGCTTATCGATTAAATCTATTGGAGTCTATGAAGATCCATTTCATATTCCATGTATCTCTTTTTGAGCCATATAAGACAATGAATATCTTGAGAAGAAGTCAAATACAACATCTTCTTATAAACATGAAAAATAATCAAGATTTCATGGTAGTAGAAGTCTTAGATTTATGCAGTGCCAAAATAGATTAAAACTACTTCAAAGTAGTAATCACTATTCTTTACATCCGTTCAAAGATACATATTGTATTATTTTTGTTAATATATCTAATTTTGCTTTCTTTACAATCCTATAAGTAGATGAAAGTCTTCTTAAGAAAAAAAAATGCCACAAAGATACTAATTGTGAATAAGAATTTGATAGTCAATATACTCATATACCACTAAAGAAGAAAGAAGCTTAAGAGACAACAAATAATAATAAGATGTAAAAGAACTAAAAGGATAGTTGGAAAATATGATGACATTACAAAGTTTTATACTAAGACCAAAATACAACATAGCTTCTCTTGAGACTAATGGTTGCCCTATTCTTGTTTCTATATAGATATATATATATATATATATATAAGCTATTAGGTAGGCCCTCCAAACTCTTCCTATGCACCTCAAGCCTTACAATTATCAAATAATACATTTGTGTTTGTGTGAATGGTTTGTGCAAATGCCATGTTGGTTGTGAGCATACATATACATTTATACACATACTCTTGACACTAGTTCTGTGCGCAGAATGCAACATGTCACGTAGGTGTGACATTTACCCCTCTAAAATAGGTTTAGTTGCCCTTCCCAGCCACAGGATGTCATGAGCATGGCTTTTTACTCTGTTGCAACTGGGTGCTGCGTGGGCTTCCAACAGTGCAGCCCGCTGACCACGAGATGGGCCATGACGACCACAGTGGTGCCAGAGGAATGTGACATTCATCTGGTTTTGGAGGCAGCGGAATCCGTTTCCGTGGTTGGCAGCAGCGGCCAGCAGCGGTCAGCTCGATGGGAATTCCATCTCGCTATCTCAGTGGAGATATCTCGGCTTATCCAATCCGGTGACCGTAGAAGTGCCCCGAGCATGATTTTGCGCTGGGCGAAGTCGCTATAAGGCCCTCCTCCGAGCTGGGTCGTCCGTGCACAGTCGGCCCGGTATCGCCACTTCATCGCTTCACTCCATTCTGTTGGAGATCCTCCGTTCGGGAACGTGTGTGCAGACATGGCAGGAGCTACCGCGATGCACTCGACAGCCTTGGCTGGGCAGGGTGTGCTCAAGCCCGTGAACGAGCTGTCCCGCAAGGTGGGCAATGTGGAGGCCCGCGTCACGATGCGGCGGACCGTGAGCAAGTCCGCTGGCAGCGACAGCATCTGGTATGGTCCCCACTTGACGAACTCTGGGATGACAGTTTTGAGTGCTTGATGGTTGTGTTGGGAGCGCGATTGGGATTGGGGTTGAGCGGAGTGTGTTGGGGATTGGGGTTGAGCGGAGTGTGTTGTGGATTGGGGATTGGGGATTGTGGGGCGGAGGCCATGAAGCAGTGGAGGCCTTGAATTTGGAAATCGGAATGGCATCCGGCCGGGGCGTGTGGTCGGTTTGGTTGTCCACGCGCGGAGCAGCTTGAGAGGTGAGAGGTGAGAGATGGAGGTTGGCATCGGCGGTGGGGCATTGGAAGTGTGACAAATGTTGGGGTCAGAGCTGCTATGGCGAGGGTGTGCATTGCTGAGGTGACATTGGTGAGGGATAGAGAGGAACGTATGCCTAAGCCGAACGTCGGACTGTTGCTCAGGTACGGAGCTGACCGACCCAAGTTCTTGGGCCCCTTCTCCGGCGAGACTCCGTCGTACCTGACCGGCGAGTTCGCTGGAGACTACGGGTGGGACACCGCCGGACTGTCGTCCGACCCGGAGACGTTCGCCCGCAACAGGGAGCTGGAGGTGATCCACGCCCGGTGGGCCATGCTGGGGGCTTTGGGGTGCCTGACCCCGGAGCTGTTGGCGAAGAGCGGCGTGAAGTTCGGCGAGGCGGTGTGGTTCAAGGCCGGAGCGCAGATTTTCAGCGAGGGCGGGTTGGACTACCTGGGCAACCCGAGCCTGGTGCACGCCCAGAGCATTTTGGCGATCTGGGCATGCCAGGTGGTGCTGATGGGAGCCGTGGAGGGCTACCGTGTTGCGGGAGGACCCCTGGGCGAGGTGACAGACCCCATCTACCCGGGAGGGTCGTTCGACCCCTTGGGTTTGGCTGACGACCCCGACACCTTCGCGGAGCTGAAGGTGAAGGAGATCAAGAACGGGCGATTGGCGATGTTCTCGATGTTCGGGTTCTTCGTGCAGGCGATCGTGACCGGAAAGGGGCCATTGGAGAACTTGAACGACCACTTGGCCGACCCGGTGGCCAACAACGCATGGGCGTACGCCACCAACTTCACCCCCGGGAACTAGGATGGCGCGGTAGAGCCGATTTAATTTTCTGTGAGCTGCGAGAGTCTGTCACCTAGACGGAGCCACCAGTCGGGTTGGCGGCGTTCGCACAGTTGTACATTGGGAGAGTGTGAATGAGTAAATTGTGGATGTGTTATTGTAATTGGGAATTGCAACTGGGCGGAGGGACGGGGAGGCGGGTGTGGATGTGGGCATGGAACGGTTCCGTACGCAGACGGGTGTGTGTTGGTTTCGGCCGGTATGGGAAGTAGCGCCATGTCTTGCGGGATCGATGTGATGGGGAGTGGTTTCGTGGAGTGAAAGACGGTGAGAGCCGAAACTGTGAATGTGAGGGTGGGTGCGGGGGAATTTGTTTGATCTCTAGGAGCATAGCGAGGCGCCCATGCGCTGCGCACGGTGGGGGGATAAAGTTGGCGGGGATTGTTTGTGACTGGAGTTGACTGGTGGATTATCCATATCTGGCAAGCCGTGACATGTGATTGAATTGGCGTCGAGAGGTAGTTTGCGTGGATGGCAGAGCTCAATCAGCATATATGAGGGTGAGGCACACAGCGGGCTCTCACACAATTCTCATCGGTTCACTTTGGTGTCGAAGTAGGACGGGAATACGCAGTTCCTGGAACGGGACGCTGCTGTGGAGAAAACGAATGTGTGGGCGTTGAATGGGTTGCGTAAAGCTTGTCGGAGCGGGGCAAGGGACTAGAGACCGACTGTGTACCATGGGAGTGGAGGGAGATGAATGCGGAAGGGATGTGGGGATAATTTTTGTATATGGACCGTCGTGGTGTATGCAAGAAGGTAGAACAAGGAACACAGGAATCGCTCGAAACGGGCAGTGCACAGCGTAAACAGTGTGCATTTTGAAAGGAAGAACCTGTGTAGTTCGAATTCGGGATCGAAAGGATTAGTCAGGAAGAATATCAGAACTGATATGCTCTTCATCCTTGCAAAATGGACGTGTCAGACGGTCTTGACTGTAGATGTATAGATTCTTGATTGGTGTACATAGTTTCGGATTATGAGAGTCGCAGTGCTAGCAACCGCAGTGTGTCTTTTCTGCATTAGGCGCAAGAAAACGTAGAGTAAATCAGGTACGCTTTGCGCCTGGAAAATGAGATTCTACTCCTGTCCAAATGATATACTATTGCACACATATCTTCAGAGGGGAGGAATGATTGCGGATTACATTCCATCTCCAACAAATCAGACAGAATCCAAATGTCCCAACCAAATCTTGCATTCCGCTCATTGCAGTATGTACTAGAAATTCATTCCTCAGCAGGCCACTGTGTGCTGAGTCATTTGACTTTTCAATTCACATGTAGTTATTATTAAAGCACTTATTGAGCTCATGGTCACAAGCAAAATTTGAATTAGTGTAGCTAACTCTATTACTGGGAGCTTTGTGTATCTACAATGCAACGCAAATGCGCACAGTTGGTAAGCATTTTGTGTTGTTGCAAATGTAGGGCACAACAAGTATTGCTGCGGCGGAGCGTCAATTACATTGCAATCAACGTGTGCTTCTTCTCACTAGACGCGGGCATGATGCATTCACTTCTCAACTCCAACAATACTCCCCAAAACTGCAAATTTCAGTGCAGTGTAAAATCCATTTGGAACAATCCTCCTCCAAGAATTCGGGGACATGACAAAAAAAATTGTAACTTTAACTCGTGACAGGGTATTGAATTATGATACAGTTTACACTATCTATAATTTCTTCGGAGTAGCGTGATTTGAATGGATGGAATGGATATCTGCGGCTTAACTTCACTGAAATGACAGAGAAAGCCCTGATGCAAAAAATCAACTACGAAACGGTCAAGGTAGCTTCTAATCAGAATAATGTACCAAGGGGCGCTCTCTAGACCTCGATTCGGAGGGTACAATGACAAATGACCTTCCAAATAGTCACCACGGTCGAACAACGCCATTAGGACGCCGCTCAAACGGTGGCCGCGGCCCGGAGGACCAGCACTTCCAGGGTGAGCCCCGGACCGAATCCAATGAAGAAGCCAAACTCGCTGCCCTCTCCCAGCGTCGACGCCCCCATCTTGACCGACCTCTGGCGAATCTGATCCAGCACGAACAACACCGACGCCGACGACATGTTGCCGTACTCCGACAGTATGTCCCTGCTCCCCTGCATCTTGTCCTTGGTCAGCTTCAGCTTCGCCTCCACCTGGTCCAGAATGGCCGGGCCTCCCGGGTGCACCGCCCAGAACATCTCGTTCCAATCGGGCGAACCGACGCACTTCCTGGCCTCGTTCAAGAACTTCTCGATGTTCTTGGAGATCAGCCCTGGCACGTCCTTCATGAGGTGGAAGATGAGCCCCGCCTCCGTCAGATGCCCATCAATGGCTCCATCACTCTCTGGCAAGATCGTCTCGCCCGCCCAGTGCACCTCGAACAGTGCTTTCTCCACCTCCGGCTTGGGATCGGATCCCACCACGTACACTCCGGCGCCATCGCCGAACAGGGCCGAGCCCACCAAGCCGTCCAAGTGGTTCTCGCTGGGTGCGCGGTATGTGACGGCCGTGACCTCGCTGGCCACCGCCAACACCCTGGCGCCCTTGTTGTTCTCCGCCAGATCCTTGGCCACCCTGAGCACGGAAGCACCGCCAAAGCACCCGGTCTGGTACATCATGACCCGCTTCACCGTGGGCTTCAGGCCCAGCAGCTTGGCCAGGGCGTGGTCGGCTCCGGGCATGTTCACGCCGCTGGTGGTGGCGAACACGATGTGGGTGATGTCAGACTTGCGGCCGCCCCACTCCTTGATGGCCCTCTGGGCTGCCTCCGCGGCGAGCTTGGGGACCTGGACGACGACGATGTCGTGGCGGACGTTCAGGGAGGGCTCCATGTACGTGCAGATGCCGGGGTTGGCCTTGAGCACCTCCTCCGTGAGGAACATGTGGCGCTTGCGGATCCCCGACTTGTCACCTGCATCGACATTCATGGCCAAGCGTCAGCTGCCGTCGTAAGGGGCCGGAATCGACCCAATTTCAGGAACATCGCGACCGCCGCATTCCCATCTCGACGCCCGCAACAAATCACAAGTCGCAATTCTAATGCGCTCGCGCCGCGCAGCCCGTGCAATGAGCACGTCGTCGAGCGCGGCTGGGGGTGAGGGCCGGCCCACAGGGAACAGTGAGCACATCACGAGCCGCGAAGAGAGTCACACGGTGGAGGTGGACTTACAGATGCGCTTGAATTTGGCCTTCAGGGCGTCCTTCTCGCCGCAGTTGGTGATGTTGAAGAAGAAGTCGGGGTACTCGCTCTGCAGGAACTCCGCGGGAGGCACCGCAGTGCCGACGCCCAACACACATGCTGGTCCCTCAGCGCGAGGCTGGCCTCTGGGAAGCGCGCTCCTTGTGGCAGCACCCTGAACGTCGACTTCTCCGCTTGGTGCCATGGGCACGTTTGGGTTCGGAATGGATGTTGAGTCCGAGCTGCTCACTCGGGGTTGTCTCGAAGCGGCCGGACAATGAGCGTTCAATTTGTTCCGGTGAACTGGCCCTGCAGCCACTGCCTAGGATCTCTTAACCTGCCAAAATCAGGGGGCTTATATGCAACGCACAATGTGCCGGCGAGAAGGTGGCCCGAGTTGAGCAGACGTCTCGCTCTGAATCTGTTAGCTCACAAGTTTGTTGCTCTATCTGCTACACTTCCTGAATGCGTTGAGTGCACAGAGAAGTTCTCTGTTGTGCAGCTTCATTCAGCATCGCTTTCTAGATGAGGGGAGTGTGCAGAGTGAATGTGGTGGCCCACAAGCCAGGGAAGAGCGTTGAATGATGTAGGACTTCGACAGGAACAGTGCAGTCTTGGCGACTTTTTTCTTGCGGCTTTTGTTCCTTTTCCAGGCGCCTGTTGGTTTCTTTCAACGTTGACAGCCTTTTGAGATGACCTGGAGTTTACTTCGGCTGCTGGCTTGTTCGGACCATCCGCATGAAGCTTCGAAGACGTCACAATCCACTTTCAAAATCCTAGGGAACTATGACAATTGGTCCGTATGGTTGTCAACGAACAGCTGCAGACTTTAGATTCTTCACTTCAAATATAAATCGTAAGGGAATCGTCCGGTGGGTTTGCCATTATTAGCTCATACTGGAACATGTTTCCGTCTGAGTGGAAATGCAGCATTTTCCTATTTGTGAACCAATACTGTATGGCCATATGATGACGGGGGTGTCTAGAGCCATGACACATGTGCATTGCCAATTTTGACCATCGATTGGAGAGTCTTATTGTTAGACTTTACCGCGGTCTTTGACATGTGGCATGACCATTTGGATATATTAAAGAACCTCACGAGAGCGAGATAGTTGATTTACATTCAAATAGACGCTTTCACAAAGAATGGAATTTAACTTATACGTATCAGCTCATGACCCAGGCAGATATTAAATGCAATTTCTGTGTAAAACATTTCCATGCTTTACAAACACAAGCTTTGCATATGTGTAGACAAGTTTTGTGATTGTGAATTAACAGCATTTGTTATTCATTATTCAACAATTTGATTACGGCATGTAATGCTCCTATTGATTGAAAACTTCTAATATCCACTATAAATTTCGTGGACAGGTGAATTCAAACAATGTCCTTTTTTCATTTTTCATTTTCATTTGAGATATGTTAATCATGAATTCAATACATTTTCATGCGACGGAATTCAAGATTTTTTCATTGAGCAAGGATTGTGTTTATGTTGACTAATTTGTGCTCACAACCATTTGGTTGGAATGCAAGATAACTCACCTAAATTTTAAAGACACAACAATAGACAATTTAGATAAGCAAGAGTTCTTGTCAACATTGTAATAGCTTAATAGCTTTCAAATGATCTATAAATAAAATTGTACTTATTTTTTAATATATATATATATATATATATATTATATTTTAATTTTTTTGAATATTTAATGTCCTACTTTAGAAACCTGTAAGTTAATTTATTAGCAACAAAAGCTCTTTATTAAACTAGTTACATGGCCTTAAACTTGACATTATTATAGAAAAATAATTTCTTTATTAGCTTAAATAAAATCATTTCAATTAAATAGGCTTATTGCTTAAGATCAAAAAAACCCTCATTTATTCTTGAAATCTTAATTCTAAGATCCTAATCTAATTAAATATTTATATGTTTTAATTGAATCATTTATTTGAACTCAAATTTTTAAACTACAATAACAACAAATTAAAAACACAAATTACTAATGACATTTAAAAATTTGAATTATCATCATAATCAAACGATATTATTAGAATTAAAAAAGAAAATTAAAATTTTAATTAATTTCTTAAAATCAACTATTAAAAAATCTTATTTATGTTTTAAGCAATGATTTATTTTTAAAGCAATAGTAACAACAAAATTCAATTAAAATTAAAAATCTCACTTATATTTATTCTACTTCTTAAAATAATTTTTAACTTTGAGTTTATCAACAATCTAGTTATTAATATTAGCACTAAACTATTTTTTAGTATTTTTATCTTTATATATTTTAAAATTTTTTTTATTTTTATATAAAATTTATAGTAAGAAAAAATCTCATTTAAATAATTTTCTATTTTTTTTCATTCTACAAAAAAAATTCATTTATTGTAAATACTTAGTTTTATATTGTAAGATCTTGTTTGTATTCTACTTCATATCAAAGATATGAATCATGAAAGAAAAAAATCCCAATATATTCTTGTATCACTCAAAAAGACTTAAAAATCATTCAAAGATGATAATATATTAAACTAAATTGACTATTACCAAAGATAAGAAGACTAGAAAGTCTTGAAATAAGACTAAGAATTAGAAAAGCATTGACAAGAATCAAGAAAGCTCTACATTTGCGTCTATATATACTATCAAACTATGAGTTGCATGGCAATGTCAAGGACAAGAACTCGATGAAAAAACAATTCAGACAAGTGAGCCTTCACTCAAAGAAAGGTAACAAAATATAAATAAACAAGTATGTATATTGAAAGAAAAACTGGAATGGCTATTGCCAAAAGACAAAGAAACTAGAGACCCTTGAAACTAGACTAGAAGCAAGAAAGGAATTGACAAGAGTGAAGAAGCCTTCACTCTTGTCTCTATATATACTATCTAACTAGGGGCTATGTGGCGACGTTCTATAGGACCTCTAATATGTGTTGACTTTGTAGAACACATGCCTTGACTTACAAGGCAAGTTTTTTTATGTGTGGGCCACATAGTTAGCTTGATCTTCAAGCTAACAACATGTGTGGCACATGGCCAACTTGTTGACCACGTTTCTAATCCAAAAAGTCAATTAAAGACACCTATGAAATCAAAGCAGCGTCTATGAAGCTTCTAGGAAGCTTTCATATTAAATACTATAGAATTAACTTATTTTTAGCTACTTTTACTTACTTCTACCTATTTGTATATGTAATTATTATCTTTCATGATTATGTCCGTGACATTACCCCCCCTTCTAGGGACGAGTTCCACGAGGAGCGGTCATCATATGTTGAGGAAATCTATGATGCGATGAATTGTATTCACCACAAACTCTGATCTTTGATCTCTTTGAAGATGATTGATAGGGCCTCTCAACCATCGGTAGTGTCCCATATCAGGGCGGGACAACCACCCAGTTATTTAATCATTGTTGAGGCCTTCGTAACTTCCTTTGAATAGAATATTTGAAACACCATCAGGAGTTGTTCCTACCTCTAACACAATCACCATACATCGGGAGTCCCTTCCCAAATCGTGATACCAAACGTGTTGTATCTCGCCATCTATTCGAGGAAGAACATGTCGTTCTTGAAGATCTTCATCTTGATTGCGTCATCTTAAAGGTTGTGAAAATCGTAATGTCTCATCTGGCAAGTTAGCAAATGAAGGCTCTTGAGTCGAATCCGCTGGTTGTTGGTTCTCCATCTCCTGAGCGTCACTTCTACAAAGAAGCTACGAACAAGAATTGAAAGTAGAATATTATCTTGCCTAGATGTTGTTTTTTTTGTAAAGAAGTTTTTCATCTTGATTTTGATGGATGTCGTCGATGAAAAGCCTCCACCGACTTTGCTGCATTTGCAAGATTCGTTATTGGCTCCCATGTGCATTCACTAATAGCATATCCGCGCCAATGGATAAGATATTCTAATTTATTTCGGCACCGCCTTCAATATAAGACTTCTTCTACTTCAAACTCTTCATTATTGTCCACTTCTATAGGAGGAAGTGGAGCTTGTCGTCTTCTTGGTATGTCCACTATCTTGTATGGTTCAAGAAGAGACATGTGGAATACTGGATGGATTTTTATTGACTCCGATAGATGTAAACGATATGCAACTGGATTGATTTGTGTAGAAATAGAAAATGGTCCAAGTCTTTGATAGTCCAACTTGTCACAAAGATGAGTGGTCTTGATATTACGACGAAGTAGCCATACCTTATCACCCAAGAGGAATGATGGTTGTTCCTTTCGATAGACATCCGCATTGACCTTTTGTTGTTCTTGAGCCTCTTTTAACTGCGCCTTCATCGTTGCATGTAGCTCTGATAAATGAATTGCCAAATCTTTCGCAGCAGGATTATCAACTTTTGAAAAGTCAAAAGTATTAAGCGATGGATGATAATCATAATTAGCAAAGAAAGGTATTTGTTTTGTAGAAGAATGTATCATGTTATTGTAAGCAAACTCTGCCAATGGCAAAAGAGTTATCCAATGATCTTGTTGGTAATTAATGATACATCTTAAATATTGCTCTAAAACTTGATTAACATGCTCCGTTTGTCCACCAGTTTGAGGATGGAATGCCGAAGATAGTTTTATATCCACTTTAAGAATCTTGAAAAAGAGTCCGCCAAAATCTTGATATAAATTGAGTTCCCCTATCTGATATAATATCCTTGGATAATCCATGATAGTGATAGATATTGTCAAGAAAGAGTTTAGCTGTTTCTTTACATGTGATAGATTTTGTACATGGTACAAAATGTGCCATCTTAGTAAAATGATCTACTATCATGAATATAGAGTCATAAGAACCTGAGATTGAAAGATCCGTGATGAAGTCCATAGAAACAGAAGACCATGGTTGTTCTGGAATGGATAATGGCTGAAGAAGTCCAAAAGGTCGATGACGAGGAGTTTTTGATCTTGTGCAAATATCACATGATTGTACAAACTCTTTGACTGCCTTCCACATTTGAAGCCACCAAAAATCCCTAGATATCAGCTCTAAAGTCTTATTATATCCAAAATGTCCTATTGTTGGGAAGTCGTGACAAGCTTGAAGAATACGTAAACGTTGTCGTATTACGTGCTTTTTTGCTCAAGAACGTGCCGGGTGTCGCGCTGTAGAAGGTAGTATAGAGATTTGCCAATATTCAAGCAGTCTATCGGTTATTAACTGTTGGAATATAAATGACTGCAAGAATACACCGTAAATCTATACGGATGCCCTTCGACTGCTTGCGGAAGTCCTTTTTGCCCCAGCCGGTAGGTCTCTAGATGTTGCAGAGAACCCCGAACAACTCAAACTGCTAATCTTCGATACTGCTTTATACTCACCATCTTGTATCCACTGACTGTCTTGTGAGATTAACCCGATAAATTTCATTCACTCCGCATACTCAGTCCTATAGATATCCTTTTAATTCTTCAATCACAGACGTAACTTGATTTCACAAAACAGTCAAGAGTAATCAAACCCACTTCATTAAAAATCCCAATTCACCATTACA